GTTTAGTCTGCACTCCGTTAGCACCAAGACATCTACTTCAAAATTTAAGTGTGAGAGTGTTGCTTGAAAGTCATCAAAATTGCAGTGTATGCTTCTAATATTTTGCGAGATTACTGTTAGATCATTCCTGTTAATATTTACATATTTTGTAAGATCCTGTATGTCACACCTGGTGGAATTAGCTATATTAATTCCGTCTATGTCTTTCAAAATTTGAGATGTGCTATCCATCAAGAGATTCGATGTATAATATGCGATAATGTGTTATAACTAGTATGTAGGACGTGAATTGATTTATATATTAATTTATTGGTTTTTAAGTTTTTATGTAGTGACATTGGAATCGGTTTGTTTTGGTATACGAGTAGTATGTCTGTTGGGATCAACAGACTACATGTGTGCGGGAGAGGTTGTATGTTTGAGTGATTGATATTTCGGATGTTAGTGTGTGTGGGTAGATGATGTGTAAGTGAGGGTAATAGTGTGTTTCTTACATTAACAAAATCTATACAATATTTTACCTTAGGATTTATAAAACTAAAGAAGGTAGAACAAAATCTTAATATACTGTAGAAACGGCCACGTGCGATTGATGAGAGCGAGTCTAGTCATTTCTCAGATAACAGTTGTTGAATTTGAGCTTCATTTTTTATAAGTAGTATCTTCGAATTGTCCTCTTTTCTCACGTAGACCTTTCCATACGCAGTCCAACAAAATTTATAAGAATTTATCTTAGCCATGTCACGTGCGAGGAAGAAGAGACGAGCAGCCTTAGCAGTCAACTGTTCCGAAACAAAAATAGGAGTATCTTCAGCAGTGCGCAGACCCAGGTGTTTGGCACAAAGCTTGGTTTTTGTTCTTGTATTGAAATTTTTTACACATTTTCAAAAAATCATTTTTTAGCATTGTCGAGGAAGTCTCTACTATGACAGGAGTGTTTTGAATATTATCTCTCTTTCCTCGGACTCTGTAAATATCTTTGATGTCAGATTTCGTGATTGAATAACCAATGGTGTTCGACAAATTTATAACCATATCTATGAGGTCTTGCTTCACTTCCAACTTCTTCTTTGGTACATTTTTAATTTCCAAATTTGCTTTGCGTCTGTCTTTTTGCATATCTTCAATTTTGTCTTCTAAAATGGTTATATATTTTCGATCTTCTTTTATCTGCTCCTCTAACTTCTCTATTTGTTTTTGAAACTCCTTATTCTGCTCGGCCAGAAAAGTGATCGAGCTTTCGATATTCTGATTTGTTTTTTGTATGTCTCTGAGTATATTCGCATTTTTTTGGAATTCAAGATTTTGAGTATTTATTAAGGTATTGAACATACTAGTCATTTCTTCTCTTAGTAAAGCAAGGTTTGCAGCGCCATCATCACTCCTTTTTCTCTTGTTTCTGGTTGATATAAAATTTGGTGGAGTAATATTGTGTTGTGTGGGTACTTCAAATTCTGAGTCAGATAATGACTTGTTCATGTTGGCCAATATGTACTAGGATATGATACGTTGAGAGGAGGTCTGTTTAAACCGTGGTAAGTAAAGATGGCGCTGATCTTGTGGGATGGTTTGATAGTTGGAAGTGCCAATCAAAAATTTCAGCAAAATTTTGAGGGCAAATTAGTAATATATTTGACTGTTATGTACTAGGAGACCATGCGGTGAAAGAAATTTAATTAACTTCGTAGTAAACGAAAACAATGTTGCTTATTTTGTAGGAGGGGCTAGTCCATTATGGGAGGTGCTAATTAACAAGATGAGAGCGAATAAAGCCGAATATCTGCCGAACTTAAGTCACTTGTGCTTCTTAAGAAGTACTAGGCAAGCATAGCGTAAAAAAGTAATTTCACTCACGGTTTGAACAGTTACTTTGTTCTTCTGCGATCCTATTTTAGAGTTTTGTTTTTTTGCACTTAAATTAGATAATTTATATAAAATTTCAAAATAGGATGGTTCTTTAGACACGTTTAAACTTTATGAACGACGAAGGGGAAGAGGTCTGTGCAATCAAACTTCCAACTTCACTCTATGTCTTTCGCACCCACAGACCCTTATGAAATTAATAAATTAATAAATAAAATAAAATTTGATAGTGCACCAGGTTATGACGGCATTCCCACTAGTTTTGTTAAACTAGCAAAGGAGTACCTTGTTTATCCAATTACACACCTTTGTAACCTTAGTTTAGAACAAGGAATATTTCCTGATTTATTTAAAACGGCTATCATGTCTCCAATTTTTAAAATGGAGGACAAACAAGATGTCTCTAACTATAGACCGATTTCTATGCTGTCTACCATGTCAAAAATTGTGGAAGGATTAGTCAACAGTAGGCTGATTAGTTACTCGTATTTAGAAAAAAACAAAATGTTAACTGATTTTCAGTATGGGTTCCGCAAAGGAAGATCGACTGATGACGCCTTATTGAAGTTGACATCTTTAATTCACAAATATGTTGATAGAGGTGAGAAAGTCATTGGCGTTTTTCTTGACCTGAAAAAAGCTTTCGACACAGTATCAATTCCGATACTATTGTCAAAACTAGAGGGCTTGGGTGTCCGCGGTCATGTACACCAATGGTTCCGGAGTTACTTGGCGGGTAGACAGCAATACGTCAGAGTAAATAATGACCTGAGTGATGCCTCAACCTGTGGATTCGGTATACCACAGGGCAGTACATTAGGCCCGACTCTCTTCTTGGCGTATATTAATAGTCTTCCAAACGCATTAACATCCAATACGGATGTACTAATATTCGCTGATGACATAGTCTTACTATTTCATGGTAAGAGTTGGAAACAAGCACAAACCTTTGCAGAAACCTGTTTGGAGAGTGTCTCAGCCTGGTTAGAGAAGAATTTGCTCACATTAAATATTTCAAAGACCAAATACCTCTGCTTCTCGAGATCTGCACTTCCGGTCCAGCTCAAGACTTTACTATAACACTACATTCTTTACCATGTAATGGAAAACTTACTAGCCAATGCAATTGTAGCACATTAACCAGAGCCAGATGTATCAAATATCTAGGTGTTCAAGTAGACGATAATTTGAGCTGGAAAGAACAGATCATTAGTGTCTGTTCTCGGGTTAGAAAACTTATATATATTTTCAGACAGTTAAGAACAGTCGCTAGTAAAAAAATTCTTATTCAAACTTATAAAGCGCTCTGCCAAAGTATCATTAATTATTGTGTGACGACGTGGGGTGGCGCGCCGAAAACAACAATGATTCAACTTGAACGTGTGCAAAGATCAATATTAAAGGTATTAATGCATCTACCATACCGACATCCTACTAATAAAGTCTACAACGAGACTCAGGTACTCTCAGTTCGCAAGTTGTTTATAGCTCAAGCTCTCCTGAGATACCACCGTGTGACTGCCTATTCACTACCACGAACCAGTAAAAGAAAATTACGGTGCCCTATACCCACTACCAAAACTACCTTTATGCAACGACACTACAATTTCATAGCTCCATACATTTATAATAAAATTCCCACCGAGAATATTGTTAGCCTTATAACTCTAAGTACCAATAGATTTAAAAAATATATACTGAAATGGCTGCAAGATCTTGATTATGTCCAAACTGAAAATCTTCTTACAATATTAAAATAAAATAAAATCAATATTAAAATTCTACTATTAAAACACGCACATACACATAGACAAACATAGACACACACACTCACACACATACACACACTCACACACACACACACACACACACACACACACACACACACACACACACACACACACACACAACACACACACCAAATTAAACATTACCTAGCAGTAACCGCCATAAAATAATATTAATTAAGGAATAATGAATCATCTTATGTACTTACCGAATATGGACTTAGCACTAAGAATTAGGGAAGGCACTGTTTCCTGAGATACAGGTGATAACCTAGTTCAGGAGACAGAGCTCCTTTGTATCTAGAAAAATTTGGTTGCTAATAAACGTTATTTTATTTTATTTATTTATATAGACAGTTAGCAGGCTTGGACCTAATATACTGCCTTGTGGCACAACTTGTGTAATCGGTAAATCTCCACTAACATGATTAATAATTTTGACACATTGATATCTATTAGAAAGGTTTTCCTTGAATATATTTAATTGAACACCACGTATTACAAGAGATTCAAGTTTATATAATAATAAAGGAATGGAGACATTGTCAAAAGCCTTCGCAAGATCCAAAAATGTACCTATAGTCCAGATTACTCACAATATAATCAGTAACCTCATGGACTAAATCACTAGTTGATTTATCTGGTCTAAAACCGAACTGGCTTTTAAAAATAAAGTTGTTTCCTTCTATGTCTTTGACTAGTTAATTATTGATTTTTTATAGAAGAAGGGGCAAACTAGCATGCGGCTCACCTGATGGTAAGTGCGACGTGCACAAGCGCACGTCGCTGTTGCTCAAAATGGCTACCGAATCACGCATCGCGCTTATGAAAGAGCGATTTTATAGTACTTTAGCGTCATTAAGAACGTTAACAAACGCTAAGAATACTGCTTATATTGAAGATGAACGTTATAAAAAGTTAATTGAAGAAGTTTCCACGGCAAAAATGACAGCTAGAAAGACTTCTCGTGATTATTGGTTATTGCGGCGATACGATGTGCTTACCATTGACTAGAAAAGTAAGCTTATTTTTCCTGTTAAAGACACTACAAGCACTATTATTTACTACGCATGTGATAGCGAGTTATTCGACATATTACACGAGGCACATATTCAAATTGGTCACGGCGGAAGAGATCGTATGATGAAAGAGGTAGGGAGTCACTACAAAAACATAACACGTAAAGATATAGAAACTTATCTTGAACTTTGTGAACCCTGTCAACAAAAGCAAAACAACATCAAAAAAGGCATTGTTGTAAAGCCTATTATATCGTCAGAGTTTAACTCTAGATGCCAAGTGGATCTGATAGATTTTCAGTCCCAGCCCGACGGTGATAACAAATTTATAATGGTGTATCAAGATCATTTAACAAAATTTGTTGTTTTAAAACCACTTAAAACAAAACGAGCTGAGAAAGTGACTCACACTTTATTGGACATATTTACTCTACTTGGTGCTCCTGCAATACTTCAGTCTGATAACGGCAGAGAATTTTCCAACCGAATTATTGATAATTTAAAAACATATTGGCCTACTTTAAAAATTATTCATGGTAAACCCAGGCATTCGCAAAGTCAGGGGAGTGTGGAAAGAGCAAATCAGGATATTGAAAATATGTTGACCACGTGGATGCAAGACAATAATAATTCACATTGGAGTGAGGGTTTGAGATTTGTGCAACTCATAAAAAACAGAGCTTTTCACGATGGTATTAAGCAATCTCCTTATGAGGCACTTTTTGCGTGTAAAGTAAAAGTTGGGTTACAGTTACCCAATGATTTCACGCAAAATGTAGAAACTATAGAAGATTTGGAGAAAATTATACAGGACCTTACCAAAAACGAAGAAAATCCCGAAATCACTGCATGTGAATTCTCTAAGGTGAACACGGAGGCAAGTCAAGTTTCTAACAACGATTCAGATCAACCCGAAACAAATACGCAACCTCCAGCTTGCACCCTCCAATGCAGCGTCTGTTCACAAGAAACTACAGAGGCTCATACATGTAGAGAATGTGTATGTGCAATCCACGCTATTTGCGCTGTTGCTGAAGAATCATCTGATGAAGGATTTGGATCTAAAGTTTTTTGTCTATTATGTTTAAAAAAATATAAAGTACAAGATAATCGTCAAAGTGCTAAGAAAACCCTACAACAGCAGGCTGAAAAAATGCTAAAATCGAGTGAAAAGAAGTTTGCTCTTGTACCTATTGGCACTTCTGTACGAATTGCAGTTCCAGAGGTTGACAGAGAACGTGGTGATGCCCGAAATATTATAGGTGTAGTTTTGGCTAAAACCGATGATGATCTTTATCAAATTGGTACCAAGAACGGAATCTTAAAACAAGTATATTCTCGATCTCAGATTAATGTGTGTCCAAGAGCTCTTCTTGATACAGACGATGTACCGAGTACGGAGATAGCACTACGGTCAGTTGCTAACCTACAATCCACTGGAACCGGCCAGGGATTTAAAAAGTGCCATTGCAAAAAAAACTGTACTACAGCAAGATGTCTGTGCTATAAAAATAAATTATTGTGTACTTCCAAGTGCCATTCTGGCTTACCCTGCAAAAATAAATAGCCGTATGGACTGACTCGTTATATAATATAAAGACTTACTTTAATATTGTGACATTTATAATTACTTAAATAACAGACTAATTACTTACCCAACGAAAGTTTGACTTTATGAGAATAATATAAGTCGATTTTGTGATAAATACATTTTAAAAGTGCCTAGATACTTGATTTTTGAAGCTTTAATTAGTAAGATAATATGAAGATTATTATATTATACGAAATGACTGTTACCTAAACGCTGTTGTCTCAACGAGTGCTTTAATAAAAATTATTATTCTCATTTTAACAACGTCTTTTATTACAGAAATCATTATTTTTATACATTTCCTAATACGATATTGGAATTATATACAATTCCTAGGAATTGTGCACATTTCCTAGGACATTTATGTATTAAATAGTTTTTGATACAATATTTTATACATTTCCTAAATAGCTTCGGTATTATATAAATTTCCTAGGATTTGTATTCCTAGATTTTCCTAGATTCTCATTCCTAGATTTCATACATTTCCGGTAACATATATATATTAGATGACATTTTTTTTACAGAATAGTAGTATAAGCCCCGCGCCGCACGAGACTTAAATGCCTACTGTTGCAGCGTTGTCACTGTATTTTTGTTTAACAGCTAAGTCTCATTTAGTTTTATAAATAGTTATAATATTTACAAACATAATACATACGGATACGTACCTATGCATCATATTTGTTAACCATTTCTTTAGTTTCCTCTCAAATAATCAATGTTTGTCAAAAAAACATCAAACAAAACACGGTTCACATACATTTATTTATTTATTTATACACTCTTTTTTCATTTTGTAATTTCTTACCTAACTATTATGAGTTATTTTGTAAGTACTAACTTTTCGTGTTCAGTTGGTATCTTGAAGAACAATTATTCTGGATTTGAGGAATCGTTGTGAGGCATCCAAAGGCAGTACAATATGTTGTATGTGCTTTCGATATATTTGAAAAGTATAAGCACAGTTTAAATAGGTGCGGCCCGCGAAATATCACGAGACTCAAACAAATGTGCTATAGGTGGTGTTAGAGCAAGTAGTTTGTAAAAAAAATATCATAGGTGAAAATCTGATAAACGTTTTGTTTATTTCATATTATCCTCCTGTGTGAACCCTACCAAATTAGGTATGACTTTTGAACGCTTCGTAGAAGCTTTGCCTCTGATCGGATTCTTTATTCATGTGGTCGAGTTTAAAATCACGTCTTATCAATGATTTTATACAATTCAAACATCTATACACATTATATAATCCATTGTTAAACTCATCTTATTATTTTTACAATATTAGACTAATTTAAATATTTAATTTAAAAACTTAAATCACCCTGAACAATATCAAATCGCATTATCATTCATTGTATTATTGATTAATTAATTTACATTTAGTGTATTTACATTACTATAATATTTAAAATAAGAATTAACATTTTAAAATAATCTATTCTAAATATATTATATCTAATTATATTATATTACTTCATAGAATAAAATAATATAATGTATGTAATTCACTCACGTTGCACTGAACGAACGCATCACTGCTATTCACCTGGCGGTAGATGGCAGCGGCCGTACCACGCAACAAATTTTACATTAAGAATATAGATTACTGTATATACTCGCCTCCATTGCGCCATTTGTTGGGTGGATTATGAATAGTTTCAGCAAACTAGGAGCAATGGACTGGAAATATTGTTTGTGTAACGACGATTGACTACACTATTTTACTAACGGATTAAGAAATAAAGGATAAAGAATTGGATTAGAAATGGTGAGCGGCGCTCATCGAGCATGTACCATCAACATGCACAGTACCAAAAACGAAAAACCGCTAATACCGGTATATCGTTATAATGTTATATTATTTATATTAATTGAAAATTTTCTATCAATGGGAAAATATTTGAAAAGAACTGTATTCGCAATTAGGTATATTAATTTTAAAATAACTATAACTAGCGACCTGCTCTGACTGCGCCTGGGAGGGATCTATTAATGTGGCGTTATTTAGACTTAAGATAATCATTAAAGATAATTTATTTTAGCTTATCTCTCTATAATATATATAAGAAAGTCTCTATATAAGAAAATATTTTATATTAAAATATTAACAAACAAAATCAACAATAATTATGAAGAAAACTCTCAGAATGCGTCGTAACTCACAAATTAGCGAAACCGGATTGAATTTTTTTTTAAATACGTGTTAAAATACTCGTCGAAATAGTTTTGTTAAGTGCTTAGTATATTTAATTTTAGGATAAAATAGTTGAAAAAGTTTTAATGTAATTTAAGAATAATATATGGGTGGGGCTCATAAAATTTGTACCATAAGGCTCTAGCAAGAGTAACTTACAAAATCGTAAGCAACACACTGGAAATTACGTAACACGCTAGAACTCTGAAAAGACAGGAGTAAAAATAATGTTATTATAAATATTGGCATGAATTCTTAGTTTTTTTTTTGTTCTGACTCATACCCAAATGGAAATAAACATCACTCAAATTGTAACGTTTTATTAAACCTAAAGAGGAACTTTGTTTTCATGTTAGAAATTTTAAAGTTATATTAAAATAAGGAATATGACATTTCTCCATTAATACTAAGATTTTTTTTTTTGGTGACTACACTAGAAACTATATTCTAGAGCACTATTTTGCAATACTTTTATTAGAGTTTTCAAGGGTTCTTCAAGGTAAATGTTTAGCAAATTTTCTTCTATAATCATGTTAGCTCTAGTCCATGGACTACGTTTTTCTTGTTCATTAGTAGCCGATTAGTAGCCCTATTGCATCTAAATTGCACTGGCTCAGAAACCCGACCAGGGATGGAGACATCTCATACTGACCTACCCACACGAGCAAACATTAAATCGTATGACTTATACCCTGCTGTATCGTTAACAATATTATTAATACCCCATATTACATTTGGTAAACTGTTGTCCCAATTATAAGAGGCCTCGCTAGGTTCCGTGGCTCTTACCGCATCGAGAATTGTGCGATTATTGCGTTCTACTTACCCATTAGAACTAGGACATGCAATAGCTGTTAACGTGTGTTTAAACTGCGTTTCCCTTACAAACTTCTTGAAATATACTACTCGTGAAGGCCTTACCATGATCGGAAACTACATGATCTGGGGAACCGAACAAACTAAATATGCGTTTTAAAACTCTGATCGTCTCCACAGAATTTACAGTACGCGTAGGCTCGGAAATAACAAATTTAGAGAAAGCATCTGTCAATACTAACATGTATTAGTACCCTTATGTTAGTTTTGCTAAAAGGGCCCAAATGATCAATATGTACCATTTTAATTGGTTTAGTTGATGTAGAAATTGGATGTAATTTGCCTTCTTTCCTACCGTATTCTCTTTTACGTTACGCACAATGTAAGCTTGACGTCACATATTTGCGATTAAATCGGGACATTATTGGAAAACAGAAATCATTTTTTACAATTTCTGAGCACCGTTTTAATCCTACATGGCATGTATTTCTAATATTTTCCATCGCGCAAAGTTTGGCACAACTAATCGGGTACCGTAACGAGTTTTACGATAAAGCCCCATCGACGATTACATAATTATTCACTATATGACTATCTGTGCAGCCACCTTTGCAGTAAATCAATAATACGTTTCGACATTCCATCTTGACATGACACTGCACTAAACCAATTGTTCACCTCTAAACGGTACACATTAACGGCATCTATCGGATTCCTACTTAAGGCGTCTATATGCTTCATACGCTCACCCGGTCGAAATTCTATAGTAATATCATAGTCTTGAATTAAAAGCCACCAGCGAGCAATGCGTGGAATAAGATCATGTTTAGTCATTGTATCGCGTACTGCAGTAAAGTTACACGGATATTTTTACCTAACACATATATACGAAACCTTCCCAACGATTCCACCACTGCAAGACACTCGAGCTCATAACTGTGATAAATACTTTCTTCCCGACTGGTAACGCGACTAAAATACAACACAGAGCGCAAACTACCGTCAATCTGTTTTTGTAAAAGAATGCCTGCAATACTTAACTTACATGCATCTCTGTGAGTTTCTGTTCGCAAACTTGGATCGTATATCGCTAATACTGGCTTGTCACATAATTTATTTTTTAAATTCTCAAAACTAGATTTTTGTAGCTTGCCCCACATCGTATTTTTTGTTAGTTCGGTAAGCGGACGAGCTATTATTGCAAATTTATGGATGAACTTCCTAAAATAACTACATAGACCAATAAACTGACGCACTTCGTGTACGTTACTCGGAACCGGAAATCGAGATACAGCTGCCAACTTAAATTTACCCGGTTGCCATCACGTGATATTTCATAACCTAAATAAGAAATCTTATTTTGTACAATGAACATTTGCTCATATTAAATTTTAAATTCTTCGTTTGCAATATTTTAAGAACTTTATCTAATAAGTCTAAACCTGTTTGAACATCGACTGACGGTAGCAAGAGATCGTTAAGGAATGCTAATACCTCTGACGACTGTTTGATGAAATTATTGAAGTTATTTTTATCTAAATGATCTACTTTAGAACTTTCTAAACTATCTACGAACTTGTTTTTAGATTAAAGGCATAAAGACCGAGGGAGTGTTAGCGAGACCGAAGGGAACCCTATTATATTCATAATGTCCGTGCGGTGTAACAAAAGCCGTTTTGTGTGTAGCTTTAGGATGAATCCTAAGCTGATGATACCCTTGGGCTAAAACAAGACTGGTGAAACAGTTCTTGCACGATAATTTCTCTTCGATCTTAGGTAATGGATATCATTCGCGGAAAGTTAACGCATTTAATGCTCCGTAATCGACACATAATCGACTATCTCCACTCTTTTTCTCAACTAAAACAAATAAAGAAGCATAATTATATAATAAAAATTTTCAACTTCTTGTGCTAGAAGACTTCAATATTTTCCTTGCGGGTGGTGTGCATCGACCTTC